GTGGGCCAGTGCATGTCATGGCAGCTCCTGTGTTGAGCGTCTGCCCCCTGGTGGTCAGTGTGCATCATAGCGGAAGGTTGGACAGTCGGACACTTAGCATATTAGCCTTTTATATAGAGAGATTTATATAGAGAGATTTGAAGGATGGAGTCACTTTGCTGCTATTTGACTCTAAGTAAGTGTGGATGGGAACAAGGTTCTATGGGAAATAACCTCACAAAGTGATCTGATCATAAATTCCTAACTACCCAGGTCATGGTGGGTAGTCACACCCCAGGCATGCAACTTTTAATAAAAGGTTCATCTTTGCCTTAAGCAAGCCCTGTCCATTGTTTTGTGCATGTAGGTTAACGCACCTTTGAAATAAGTATAACCACCCTCAAGAGAGCACATAATTGTTAATTATCCTGTCATCCAATCTCCTTCTTGCCTTCTCCCACCTTCATGTGATTTTCCTTACATTCCATCCTTAATTTCAAATGCATAGAAGAAACTGCAAAACTGTCATTCTCTGGAGCTTTGGGGATCCTGCTTCCTGGCAATTGTCATCAGTTTTGGTTCAAATTCTCTACAGGTTTGGACGTTCTTAATGTCAATATAAGTCTGTCTTAAGCTACTTTTCTCTATACTTTCCCCATCCCTCAGTGGGGTTCTAACTGGCGCACCTGCTCCTCTGGCCCAAAAATACTTTCCCAGGCTTATCTTGGAGGCTGCCATGCTCTTTCTCCCGTTCTCTGCGCCATCTTTCTAAGCGTAGTTCAGATGCCAGCTCTTTGTTTCCTCAGTCAGAAGGAACCTCTCCCTTCTCCATCCTCCTGGTTCAGCAGCTGTTACTACATTTGTAGCAGGGGCCTGAGCTGGAGTCCTGGCTGCCTGGCCTGAGCCAAACTGTGACTCTCTGGCATCGGATCTGCCTCCTTGTTCTCTAACCACAATGATGTGGGCCCTCACCCCACAGGGTATCACTTGGGTATAGGTGATCTGGGGCACGTGGATGTGCCAACTGGATTTCTACTGCTTGATGACAATAATAACAGTAGCCCGCATTAGCTAGCATCTACTAAGGGATTCTTACAGCTCCAAGACTATACAATGGAGTTATTCGTCCTCTGCTACAGATGAGGAAACTTAGAGAGGTGGAGTGACTTGCCTAAGGTAACACATGCAAAACTACATTTACCATTGTTGATGGCACATCACTCCTTCTCCCAGATTGCCCTGCATTCAAAGGACCTACTGATGTCTAGGACAGGAAATAATAGACTATGCTCCCCCTGGTGGAGGGATGCAGCAACACACAATGTCCCTGCAAAGATGGGAGGGTTACTGCCTTGAGCACTACAAGCAAGTCACAGGACGCTCAGCTGATCGGAAGATGAGTTTAGACTTCCTTTTACACTTTTCCCCCAATAGATAAATGTTATTGCATTTTTAAAATATGACAAGTAGGGGTTGAGGGTCATCTACCATCTTCTTTGTAGCTAGACAACTCTTAGATCTTATACATGGGCTAGCTGATTGATTTCTTTTTCAGAGACATAGATAACATCTAACATTTTTCTGATATCCTTGTGTTTAACTGCTGTGGCTTGCTGAATCTAAGCAGCTGAGTTTGATACAAGTTCGATGCCACTAGCTTCACTAACTTTCTGGACTTGAGATATTGAACAAACAATGCTTGGCCCCATATGAACACTACAGGTAGATTTTTTTTTCCAGATAGATTTTTTTTTTTATACAAAAATGATCAGATTTCAGTAAGAGCCCCACTCTCCTGAACAGAGACGTTGATAGGGAAGTGAGCATTCACTGACCTCATCCTGTAAAGGAGGCCCAGTGGAGCACCCTCAACCATGTGCCTTGACTCCAGACTGTGTGAACTATGGCCAGTTTCTTTCTCTTCCCCACTGTTTGTCAACTCGGAGCCTCTTCCTTTTATTTCCAAGGAGGCGGAGTTCTACATTGACGAAGTCCCTTGCAGAATGATCTCATCAAGAAACTCTGTACCCGCCCAAGCCAGTTGAGCAGTGGTTAGAGCACCAACCCTTGGAGGGCTGAGGGTTTGATTCCCAGTCAAGGGCACGTACGTACCTCACACCTCGGTTGCAGGTTCCATCCTGCGCCCTGTACCTATTAGCTATCTATCTTTCTATCCCTCACACCCAGCCCTAAGCAGCCGCTAATCTTTTTGTCTGCATAAATTTGCCATTTATGGATGTTTCACATAAATAAATTATATAATATGTGGTCTTTTACCTCTTACATATTTTGAAATTAAGTGTGTTTACATTGTAATTTTGCTTTGTACCACAATTAGTTGGAATCAGTGTTTTTAGCCCTGTGATTTTATACGTTTTTAAAGATTAGCAGAACATCACAGCGAATCCAGAGTTAAATTTTATCACCCCTTCCCCGAAGAGAAGCCCAGAGGCTCTATTTCTCAAGGAAACAAAATGAAAAGGAGTACAAATAGCCATCAAGGGAGTTAGGACATTTCGACCTTTTATTGAAGATTTTACCATCTAGGCCCCTGATCCCCAGGTCCTGCCTGCCCTGGGGTCTGAGCTCACCTTTGAGAAGAAAAAGGCTGGGCGACGGATGGGTCAGGGCTGTCTCCTGCCCATTTCTAGACTGTGGGGCTGCCCTGTCAGTAGGAAAGATGCCTGAGGACACCCAGAGGTCACTCAAAGGGGCAAGAGTGAAGGAAAGAGAGGAATGTCCCATCTGCTAGAGGAAGCAGCAGTTATTGGAGCAAGGGCTAAAGATGAGGCATTTGCTTGGCTGGTGTGGCTCAGTGGTTGAACATTGACCTATGAACCAGGTCATGGTTTGATTCTCTGTCAGGACACATGTGGGCTTGATCCCGTGTGGGGCATGCAGGAGGCAGCCAATCAATGATTCTCTATCATCATTGATGTTTCTATCTCCCCCTCTCCCTTCCTCTCTGAAATCAATTTTAAAAATTTATATATATAGGCCCGGTACATGAAATTCATGAGGGGGGGTGAAATTCATGGGGGGGGGGTCCCTCAGCCCGGCCTACACCCTCTCCAATCTGGGACCCCTCAGGGGATGTCTGACTGCCGGTTTAGGCCCATAAACCGATCCTGCAATCCAGGACCACTGGCTCCTAACCACTCACCTGCCTGCCTGCCTAATGCCCCCAACTGCCCTCCCCTGCTGGCCTGGTCGCCCCCAACTGCTCTCCTCTGCCAGCCTGGTTGCTCCCAACTGCCCTCCCCTGCCGGCCTGATCTCACCCCCGACTGCCCTACACTGCCGGCCTGATCGCCCCTAACCCTCTGCCAGCCTGATCTCGCCCCTAATTGCTCTCCTCTGCCAGCCTGATCTCACCCCTAACTGCCTCTGCCTTGGCCTCCACTACCGTGGCTTTGTCCAGAAGGAAGTCGGACATCCGGAAGATGGCCGGTTGCCTGGTCTAATTAGCATGTTACCCTTTTATTGCTATAGATGAGGCACTTGCCAACAGGCCAGGCCAGCTCTTGAGGCTGCCTAGGGAGCCACAGGTACTTCAGGTGGGGATATTCTGCAAGGTCAGCCACAGGACAGGCATCTGCTAAGGTGGTATGTGGAAGCTCTGCCTTGGGTCTGACCCGAAGGAGGAAGCTTGTCAACCTGACCTACTCCTTCTGAGTTCACATCTAGAGGTCAACCACTTTCCCAGGAATCCCTTTCCCCAGCAAAAATCCTTTGTCTCAAATATTGGGTGGGACTCATACAACTCTAGGACATGACCCAGAAGTGAGCAGCTGTTGTAGTGTCAATCGTAGACTTAACCAAGTAGATGCTCTAAGTTAGAGGATGGCTCTGGAAACCTCCACATTCTCCTTGGACAATTTTAAGTGAGTTCAGAGGGTTGGGAGGACGTGCTCTGGCTGAGCGGGAGCAGAGAGGAGGCAGGAACGAAGGTCCAGTGTCAAAGGAAGACCTGGCTTATAGGAAGAGGGCAGGAGAGGAAAAACACAAAAAGGAGCTAAAATGATAAGTTTCTGAAGTTGGGTTTGAAATAAGGACACGGTGACGAGATGCCTGCAGCTTGTTTTAATCCCATCTCCTCTGTCCGGGGAGGATGCTCTTCAGATTAGAAATGGAAGGAAAAACGTTGGTCAAGGAATCGAAAGCCCAGTGTAGTGCGCTGAATGGTGTCCCCTCCAAATTCAGTTCACCCCTTATCAGATGTATCGTTGGCGAATATAGTCTCCCACTCAGTAGGTTGTCTTTGTTTTGTTGATGGTTCCCTTTGCTGTGCAAAAACTTTTTAGTTTGATGTAGTCCCATTTGTTTGGTTTTTTCTTTTGTTCTCCTTAACCAAGGAGATAGATCAGAAAAAAATATTAGTAAGAGCAATGTGAGAGTTTACTGCCTATGTTTTCTTCTAGAAGTTTCATGGTTTCAGGTCTTACATTTACATCTCTAATCCATTTTGAGTTTTTTTCTTGTATATGCTGTAAGAAGGTGCTTTAATTACATTTTTTTTTTGCATGTATCTGTCCAATTTCCCAAACACCAATTATTGACTAGAGTATCTCTGCCCATTGGAGGAGGTGCCTTCTTATAACCTGTGTATGAAGCTTACCTAGTGCCAGGCATCGTACACCAACTATCCCTCAGGACAACGATACCCTGCAATTGTGCCTGATGGCCCAGGGGAGGTGGGTTAAGCGGGAAGAATGGGAGTAGGGGGGCCTCGGGGACCCTGGAAGGAAGGAGATAGACAGGGACTGACTGGTGAATGAAGCCCTCAGGTCCCAACAGGGCTCCAGAGAGGCCAGTCCTGCCAAGACACCCAGGACAGGAGGTCACTGTGATGCCCCCCCCCCCCCCCCCCCCCAGGGGTCTGGGGGTCTGAGCAGGGCAGAGGCTCTGATGAGATGCAATGCCCACCGTGACTCGCCATCCTTGTCCAGTTTCTTCACCTCCTTGATGACCTCCACTGCCTCCCAACAGACCCCAGCATGCCCCAGGGAGGGAGTCAGGCTCGGCAGGAGACAGGCAGCAGCCTCCTCGAGGCGCACTTTATTGGGGAGCGGGGTGGGGGACCTAGGCCTGCTGGGCCCGAAGCAGCGCTCGCACCTGGCTGATCTGCCAGTCGACGCTGGAGCGGGCGGTGCCACCCAGGGCAGAATACTGCTCCACGCTGTGCCCATAGTCCCACACCTGGCTCACGTCGCCCGAGAACAGGTGGCTGGGGAAAGGAAGGAGATGGGCTAGCGCAGCCCAGCCACGCAGCCTCAGGGTCCTGGGAGGCAGCAGAGGGAGGGGAGGGGGCCGCACCTGATGGTCTGTAGCTCCTGCAGCGACAGCTGGTTGAGGGCGACCCCCTTGGTCTCCGCCATGAACACTGCTTTCCCAGAGGCCTCGTGGGCCTGGCGGAATGGCATCTGCAGGTGCCGAGCGGAGGGCAGCACTGAAGCAGGCTTCCTGGCTCCCTGCCCTGCTGTGGGTACCTGTGCCTCCCTAACCACCCCTACCCCTGGCCCCTCCACCCCAGCCGCCCCACACTCACCCCTTTGCGGACCAGGTAGTAGGCGAGGTCAGTGGCCAGCATGTCAGGACTAAGAGCCTGCACCATGTTCTCACGGTGAATCTGGGGATGTGGGTGGGGAAGTGGTGAGTCTTGGGGCCCTGGGGACCCCAGGCCTGAAGCTGCCAGCTCCAAGCTTACCCCTCAGCCAGTATGTCTCCTGCCCTGGGCAGATCCACTCTTTCCCACCCTGTTTGCTCTCTCCGGCTCGAGCCGTCTTTTCATAATTATTGATAATTTGTAGGTGTGCTATAGGGGTTGCCGTTACTTTTCCAGAGTCCTTATCTTTAGTGCACATCAGAATCACCTGCAGGATTTATTACAAATACAGACCGCAGGGCCCCATCCCCGGAGTCGGATCCAGTGTTACTGGAATGAGGCCCAGAATTGCACTCTCTCAAGTTCCCAGGTGATGCAGACACTGCTGGTCCCAGAACCACTGCTTTAGACACATCCTGAACTAGTTAGGATTGAAATGATACGCAGATGGGGATCTGGTTCAAATAAGGGGGTGGGGTGAAGAGAGCTGCCAAATCAAGAATGGCCATGAGGTGGTTATTGCTGAAGCCCGGTGTTGGTACACAGGGGTTCATTACACATGTTCTCAACCGTTGCATAATTGAATTTCCCATAATAAAAAGAAATCTGGTCAGGCCAGGTGATGGGACCCCTTGAGTCTAACTACTTCCATAGTTTTGCCCCTCAAAGGCAGGACCAAGCACATGCCCCCTCCCCCTGCCCCAGGGCTTCAGGACCACCCACCCTAGCCTCCTCTCATGATCACCCTCTGCCCATCCCAGAGTTTAGGGACCGGGAGAGAAGATGCATGTCTTACCTGCAACGTAGAGATGACGCCAGTGGCCACCTGGAGGACGGCACCCATGGTGTCTGACACTTCAAACACGGCTTCCTTGTCCTCCTGAGAGGGAGGCACGTGGCAGGAGGTGAGGGCTCAGCAGCCCCGTCCCTCACAGAGGCATCCCCACTGCTTTCCACTGGGAGCACTCAGCACCCCCCACACTCCACACCGAGGGAGAGGAGAGAGCTCTCAGGGTGGTCAGGGTCTGGGATGAAGGGGATGGAACGTGGCAATTCTGTGGGGCCCCTGCCTGGAAGTGCCAGGGCCCTGCGAACCGGTACGTGGTGTATATGCAGAGGGGCCCCTCACCCACCGCCCGCAGCCTCACACCTGTAAGTCCTTGTTGTAGGTGCTCGGAAGTCCCTTGAGGGTCATCAGGAGCCCAGCACACTGAGGGCAGAGTGAGGGTCAGGAGGCGGGACCTCGGAGCCCGCCCTGGAAGCTTCCCCAGGACCCCCCGGGTCAGCCAGAGGCTTTGCCCTGCTCCCTGCCCGTCTCACCCGTCCAAACACTCGGCCCGCCTTGCTCCGGATCAGCTCCAGGCTGTCTGGGTTTTTCTTCTGGGGCATCAGGCTGCTTCCAGTGCTAGGGACAGAGATGCTGGGGCTGAAGGGGCTCCTCTGCCCCGGGCTGCTCTGCTGGCTGGGGCGGAGAGGAAGGCAGCCATGTGGGGGCGCAGAGCGGGGCAGGGCAGCGCGCGGCCTTACCTGTAGGCATCGGAGAGCTGCACAAAGCTGAATTCCTTGGTGCCGTAGAGGATGAGATCCTCAGCCATCCTGCTGAGATGGGTCATGCACAGCGAGGCCCAGAACAGGAACTCGGCTTGTGGGAGGGGAGGGAAGGCAGGCTCTCGGGTCACCAGGCCTCCCTTGCTCTCCACCCGCCTGAAGAAGCTCCAGGTGGACCATATGGGAGGGGGGGGGGAAGCTGGAGAGGACGGGGACTGGGGCACAGAGGCGGGGCACCGTGCAGGGGATGAGTGGGCTGGCCCCCAGGACTCACCCACAAAGTCTCGCTCACTGGTAGCATCCATGCTGTTGAGAGTGATGGCCCCAAATTTGAGTTCTGGACAAGGGGGAGAAGGGGAAGGCAATAGGGCTGGGCTGGTGGACAAGGATGGGCCTCCTCCACCCTGAACCAGGCTGCCCAGCCACCTCCCCGTGGCCCCCTTTCAGGGAGGAGGAGTAGGGAGGGACAGGAGGTGAGGAGGGCCTCTTGTATGGGTCCCAGAGGGAGGCAGGAGCCCTGAGTGTACCCAGGGCCATGCACCTCTGTCACAGGCCTTCCCTTGCCTCTCTAACTTCAGTGTCCATAGGTAACAGGATTCACCCAGACCCCTGCCCTCTCTCTGCAAGACCCCGGCAGAAGCTGATGGTGATCTCCCGAGGGTGGGCGGAGGGCTTACCTGTTCGGAGCAGCTCCCGGTCCACACCCAGAGGATTGCCTGCAATGGCCCCACTGCAGGGGCAGGGGATTCTGAGTGACCAGGGCTCCTGGAAAGCAGGCCCTGGCACATACACACCCAGAGTTGCATCCTGGTTGCCAGGGCTACAGCCAGTCAGCTTGGTGCCTGACACTTGTCCCCGGGCAGGGAATGGCAGGCTGTGGGTAACGGGCTGGCTCTCAGGGGCTTCTCTGGAGAGCTCGGGCCCTGCTCTGACACACTTGCTAGCTTGGTTGTCCACACCCTGAGAGAACTGGGTGTCCCTGCAAGATCCCGCCTGCCTATGTAGGAAGAACTCTGGATGGGAAGGCCAGTCCCCTCGGTCCTTGCTGGCTCCTCTTCTGTCAATCCCCAAGGGCCATGCTAATTATGTGGCAGCAGCCCTGTTCCCCACTCTCGGAGCACTGGGACCTCACTCACCTCCCCAGGGGCAGGACGTTGATCCGCTTCTGCACCTCCAGCAGCCTCTCAGAGTCTCTGGTCAGTGCCACGGCGTGGCTGTGGGAAGCCAGGGAACGGAAGGTCAGGGCAGCCAAGGGAGCCTCCCCTCCATCATGGCCCCTCGATCGCCGTCCCACTCACCTCAGGATCCAGTGGCTCCAGCGGATGGGCTGAGCCCTCTGCAGGTGTGTGTACCCTGGGAAGAGGATGTCCCGTTCCCTGCGGGGGAAGAGTAGGGGCAGGGTGCCTGAGGGCCTGCAGGCCTGGCCCCTCCAGAAAACAGCAGGGCAGGTCTACCGGGACCTCCCTGCTCGAGGGGTCGAGTGATCTCCTGGGGATAAATCATTGTAAGGGAACAGACCCAAGACCAAGCGTGGATTAGACCCTCAGCTCGGGTCTTTGCTACTCACAGCACAGCGGGTACCACCTGGCAGTGGGAGCCACGTCTGTGAGCGAGAAGCTCCCTAGGAGCCCAGAGAGCCGGGGGCCCTTCAGAGTGGGCGGAACAGAGGCCGAGTGCTGTGGGCGCTGGTTCTGGTTTGTTTTTTTTAGTAAACATTACTGAGGTGATGACTCACATACAATCCTCTCATTTGAAGTGTACAACCATCACCACATCAATTTTAGAACCTTTCACTACCCCAAAAGAGAAGGCCAGCGCTCCTCAGCAGGCCCTCTTTCCTCCTCCGGCCCCCAAGGGTGATGGTGCTTGTGCCCTGGTGTGCCCCCAGGTGATGTGGTCTGTGAAACAGAGGTCACAGGGAGTTGGGGAAAAGGAGGGGTCAACCCTGTCCCTGACACCAAATAGGGACTTCTCAGTAGCCAAGGCACAGAAGCCAAAGCTTGGGGATGAGGCTGGTGGGAAGCAGCCTTTGGCTCTGTCCTTTGCCAGCGTGCTGGGCAGAAATGGGGACGAGGGGCACAGGCGGCTGGGGAGCGGCTCTGTCTGCCCCAGGCACGGCCAGCCCCCTTCCTCAGGCTTCAGGGCATCTGCCCAGTGCTTTAGCTTCCTGCTTGTGAATCCTCAAAGCGTGAGCTTGCCCCGCCTGCCGTGGGGTAAGGCATACTGCAAGAAACGCCCCACTCCTGCTGCTCTGCTCACTCAGTCCAGGAGCTCTGGGACCCCCTGCGCCCCAAGGCCTGGCTCCCCTACCCTCTTCACCCCTGCCTCCTAGGGCTGGTATTCAAGCTGCCTGTCTCAGGGAAGAAGAGACCTGGCTGCCTTCATGCCCTGCTCTGCCACCTAGGCGTCCCCAGGGGACTCACGCCTCTGCCCGGTCCACCATGGTTCTGATGAGCTCCCGGAGGAGGGCAGAGAGCGTCGAGCAGTTCTGCCGCATCCACAGCCTGAGATCTGTGACCACCTGTGGAGGGGAGGCGGCACTCAGGGAGACTGATGTGTGACTCCCTGGGGAGCCAGGACAGCTGCTGAGCCCCAACGCTGCTGTCTGCGCTCCCCAAGGTTGGGCAGCACAGGGTGGGGGTGGAGGGGCTGGCGGCACCTGGTCGTTCCGACTTCGTCCTGTGTGCAGTTTCCCTGCGGTTTCACCAATGAGCTCCTAGGGGTGGAGGAGGCATGGGTCAGGGTCTGCTGCTCATGCCCAGTGGGGTCTGCCCAGGTGGACATGCTTCCTCCCTGCCCCGGAGTCCTCCCTCCCTGCCCCAGGGGCCCCGGGTCCCGCCCAAGTCTCTGCCCTCTCTGCCGAGGCCTCCTGTTCTGAAGTCCCGCCCAAACTCTGCCAATGACGAAGTGAACAGACATTTGTGCTTATGCTCAAAGTGGCCCAGGGCAAGTGGAGAGGGAAGGTGGGGGCAGTGGGTGGGAGAGAGAGGAGGGAGGATGGGGTCATACCTTGAGACGCCGCTCATTGGCTGTGTGGATGTCCTCATCGTTGGGATTTAGTTTGAAGGTGCCCTGGGCCCACTCCTCCGCCACCTGTAGTAGATGGCAGCCACCCAGGGGTCAGACTGGCAGGCATGGGCAGCCAAGAGGGCCAAGCCCTGTTCCACCCTCACCCTGATCACTGACTGTCCCAGGATTGGAGCTGAGTCCTGGGAGTGCTCCCCGGGGGGGGGGGGGGGGGGGGGGGC